TCTTCTTCTTCTTCTTCTTCTTCTTCTTCTTCTTCTTCTTCTTCTTCTTCTTCTTCTTCTTCTTCTTCTTCTTCTCCTTCTCCTTCTCCTCCTCCTCCTGCTCCTCCTTCTCCTCCTCCTCCTCCTCCTTCTCCTGTTCCTCCTCCTCCTTCTTCTCCTTCTCATCCTCCTCCTTTTCTTCCTTCTCATCCTCCTTTCTTCCCTCTTTTCTTCTTCTTCTTCCTCCTTCTTCCTTCCTTCTCCTCATTCGCTTGCTTGCTTTCCTTCCTTCCTTCCTTCCTTCCTCTCTCTCTCTTTCTTTGTTTTCTTTCTTTCCTTCTCCTCATCTTCTTCCTCCACACTGAACCCAGGTCTTTCCTCATGTTAAACACATGCTCTAGTCCCTAGTTTTTTTTTTATTCCTGGTATTAATAAATACCTAAGTCATTGACACTATGGGTCTAAATCTTTGTGTAAATTCATTTGACCTCCAAGGGGATCAGTCCCATGACTTTTAATTATCCATATTTGAACCAACAAGTGCACATCACATGCACTAATTTATTTTATATAAGTTTATCATGAAATGTAATTTTCCAGTATCTGTTAGTAGTTTTTTAATAATGCTTTTGATGAGAATGCCAATTTATGTAGCATTAGAGGGTTAGCAGTAATAGTCTTTATGTGAAGTTTAAAATGCTTCTCATTTATGTCTCTTGCATGAACTGTTAATCACTTAAAGATTGATCCTTTGGAGTCCCATACATGCCTTAGGCATGTGACAATTATTTGTGGTACTGGGTATCAGCCCGAGGGCCATGAAAGGCAAACATCACTGTGAGATACCCCTAACTACTCCTAAAACATGTAATAAATTTTGTGTTTTTCCTTAAAAAAAGAAGTTGAAAGTTGGGTACAGTGGTGTTGGCCTACTACTTGGGAAACTAAAACAGGAAGATTTTAAGTTCAAGGACAACCTGGGCTACATAGTCTAAAAGAATATAGTCTAGTGGCAGACAGCATACAAATCCTTGGGTTCATTCTCCTGAACCCCCCAAAAGTAAATAACAGCTAATAAATTAATAAGCAGTATATAACCTTTAAGAAAACACAAACATGTAACATTCTGTATTCTGGGCTGCATATGTCATAGCAAGTCATTTACACATTTTATTATTTATATTACAGGAAGTTGATTGTGCAGATTGCCAAAACATGCCAGGATTTCACCAACCTCATCTCTATGCAGATAGAGGGCCAGCCACAAAACCACATCCACCACTGGCCCCTCTACCCAAGGGAGCTTCTCTTCCTCCTCCAGTACCTGGAATAAGTGGTAAACAACATTAATACTACCATTAACTTGATTTAAGGAGCCTCACCTCCACTACCACTTTTATTGGAGAAACCTGCTTTCCAGGCTATCATTTCCATGTTCATGGAGTGGGACAGAAAATAAAAACCAATAGACCTGAATTTTGTGTGGTGAAACTTTGCATTTTGTTGAGGCTTTTTTGATAGTCATCAGTGTGGGAAAATCTCCATAGTATTATCTAACTAATATACAATGGTAGACAATATGACTGCTGATTTTTTCTTTTCCTCTTTTGGGGTGGGCAGGGAAGATAGTACTGGAACTTATTATTTTTTGTGCTTGTGAGGCTTCAACTCAAGGCCTAGGCATTGTCCCTGCTTCTTTTGCTCAAGGCTAGCACTCTACTACTTTGAGCCACAGTTCCACTTCTGGTTTTCTCATGGTTAATTGGAGATAAGCATCTCAAGGATTTTTCCTGCCCAGGCTGGCTTGGAACCCTGATCCTCAGATCTCAGCCTCCTGAGTAGCTAGGATTACAGGTGTGAGCCACCAGTATTTGGTGGTGTTTTAATTATTTTTTAGATAAGTTTCTTGCATTTTTGTCTGGGATGACCTCAGACTAAAATTCTCCCATTTATGCTTCCCTCTTAACTGGTATTAGGAATATGAACTCTAAATTTGTTGATTGAGACTTGATAACTTTTGCCCAGGCTGGCCTTGAATCCCTACACTCTTCATCTCTGCCTCCCAAGGAACTGGGATTACTTATAGAACTAAGCCACAACTCCTGTCAACTGCTGACTCTAAGATTACCTCTGTGAAGTTACCACTGTAGACTCCTCTTTTAGTACTTTATCTCAGTAATGGGAAAACATCATAGAAATATAAAATTCATGTGGAACACAAAGAGAAATAAAAACTGATGTGAGCTGGGCTTCTAGCTACTCAGGAGGCTGAGATCTGAGGATCATAGTTCCAAACAGAACAAGAAAGTCTGTGAGACTCTTATCTCTAACTGGGAGCTGAACTGTAGTTCAAAGTGGTAGCGTGCTAGCCTTGACTGAAAAGAGCTCAGGACAGTGCCCAGGCCCTGAGGTCAAGCCCAACAATCACCACCACCACCACCACCACCACCAATAACAACCCAAAACCTGAAGTCAGGATGATTGTATTCGTTTTCCAGGGCTGCCATAAATAATTACAAATTAGGTAGCTCCAAATAGCAGTAAGGGAGCTATTAACTTTTTTTTTAGTCCAAATGACTTATGGATAATATTAAGGTGCTGGCATGGTCACTGTTAGAGTATATTAGACTTTGCCAGAGTAAAGGGACTGGCATGACCCCTTCTCATAATGGAGCAGAAGTAAGAAGTACCAGCTGTCTCAGTTGACCTTTTATAACCTCTGGAATTTGGGGAATCTCCCTGCCTTATATGGTCATAGCTATCCCAATGGGGTGATCTCTCAGGAAAAGGGGATAGGGGCTAATAATTTGCTGCCTTTACTGCATGGACCTAGTATTGCCTAGGGAAAGAAGCCCTAAGGGAGGAGGCTTCTGGGCTAACAGTCACAATTTCCAAAGGTTCTAGCAGAGAATCTGCTCCCATTCCTTGGCCTGTCTTTTATTCTGTTCTTTGTTCTTATGGCCTTACCGTAAAATTTTCACCTTTTCTCCTAAGGATAGATATGACTGCATTTAGAGTCCACCTAAATAATCCAAGTAAGTTCCTCTCCTCAAGATTTAGCATAGTTGGGCTCTGGTGGCTCACACCTGTAATTCTAGCTATTCAGAAGGCTAAGAACCAAGGTCCTCAGATCTTGGTTTGAAGCCAGTCTAGGCAGGCAAACCTGAGAGACTTATCTCCAATTAAGTAGCAAATAGAACAACAGAGGCATGACTCAAATGATAGAGCACCAGCCATGAGCAGAAAAAGCTGAGAGGGTGAGGCCCTGAGTTCAAACCCCAGTCCTGAATTTTAGGAATCAGAATGTAATCATATTCTTTTGAGGGGACACTTTTCATTCTATTACAATGCTATAAGAAATGGATTGTTCAAGCCAGGTGCGGGCGGCTCACACCTGTAATCCTAGCTACTCTGGAGGCTGAGATCTGAGGATCACGGTTCAAAGCCAGACTGGGCAGAAAAGCCTATGAGACTCTTATCTCCAACTAACCACCAGAAAACCCAGAAGTGGCACTGTGACTCAAGTGGTAGAGTGCTCGCCTTGAGCTGAATTGTTCACGGACAGCACCCAGGCCCAGAGTTCAAGCCCAACAACTGACAAAAGAAGAAAAAACATTAAAAAAAATGGGTTCAGTAGGGAAAGGAAATGGGGGAGGGGTGTCTTTGTCTTGATTTCTGTGGGAAGGGATGGGTGTGAGGTTGTGTAAACGGGTTTAGGATTGGCTGGTTTAAGTAACTCAAGGGTCCTGGATGTAAGGGATAATACAGCCTTATGTAGTAACTAGCTCTGGCATGATTAGGGCAGAGAAATATTAGGTCCTTGTACATGGCAGAGAAATATTAGCTCCTTGTAATACCTAAAGGAGACAGTGGGAGGTGTAATCTGGGGATCGCTTAGTTAGCATATGAAAGATGAACTCTTAGGCATTAACCAGTCCTGGGATCAGCAAATCCCTAGGACATCATCATAACATCAATTTTACAGAACATTGGAATGTCTGAATATCATCTTTTGGAAAGCAATTCCTTATTACAGCTTCTCTTACTACAGTCTGATCTAGAAATATGATTTGCAAATTCATCTAAGTAAAAATGAAAGGCAAGTCCAAAGACAGGTATGATTTTATATTTAAAAAATATTGTCTCTCAGGCTGCTGATGGCTCATTCCTGCAATCCCAGCTACTCAGGAGGCTGAGATGGGAGGCTCACAGTTCAAAGCCATCTGGGACAGGAAAGGCATGCAGCTCTTATTTCCAATTAAGCACCAAAAATCCATAAGTGGAGCTGTGACTCAAATAATAGAATGCTTGCCCTGGGCTAAGTGCCTAGGCCCTGAGTTCAAGACCCAGGACCTGCACACACACACACACACCATTGTCTTTTGCTATGCTGGGGATAGAACCCAAAGACACCTACTATGCTATACAGATGTTGTGCTCATGATAAACATTCCAGCCCCACAAATGACTAAGATGCTCTGCCTCCTCCCCTAGCAAACTCCCTGTAAACCCTGCTGGCTAATACTCTAACCTAGGGCTGAAGCCCTTATATAACCCTTTTTTCTCACTTAATCTTAAGCTGTTTGGACTGGGATAGGTGGGGTTATCAGCAGAAAGGAAGCCCTTGAAGTACATTATTCTTACTTGGTGGCCATCTTGGCATTTCAGGTCTGTAGGAAATTTCACAAAACCCAGCACCCTCTCATAGTGAGGGATGGGGTATGGGTGGGGACAGTAACATTGCCACAAGTACACTTTCGTAGGAAATGAGACAGAACCATTCCATCTCCTCCCAGGTGTGTGTGTGTGTGTGTGTGTGTGTGTGTGTGTGTGTGTGTGTGTGTGTGTGTGTGCCAGTTCTGAGGTTTAAATACAGGACCTGTACGCTGTCCCTGAGCTTTTTGTGCTCAAGGCTACCACTCTACCACTTTGAGCCACAGCACCATTTCCAGAACTTTCCTGCCAGCACTGGCTTTGAAATGCTATGCTCAGCATGAGTAGTTAGGATTACAGAGCCAACAGACTTGGGCTGTAACTCTTCAGGAGCTTACTTCTCAATTCCTCTTTGTTTTTTTTCTCCATCTCAGTAGGGAGTAATGGTCATGCCTGCAACAGAGAAGCAAGTCAAAACCTTCCCAGGATAGACAATTTCAGTCACTACTCATTGTGCCAGGCAACTGAGGTCCACAGAGGCAAAATGGCTTTGCCAAGATGAACCTGGGTGGAGCCACAAATCTAGGGCATACTATCAATGGGTTTTCAGGTTTCACCTTGGGCTGGAGACTAGTTCTACCTGCAAAATCTTCCAGTGCTGGATGTTTCTTAACTTTCTATCAAACTCCAACTGCGACTCCAATTCCCTTCTCTCCAAATCTGTTTGTTTTCAAGGTCAATGAAGGAAGGCTTGGTAAACTTCAGTTGCTTTTTTTTTTCCTGACCCCGCTGAATGTGGTTTATGATCTGCTTCTGTTGCCTCCAGTTTGGGCCCTGTTATGGGGGCGGGTGGGGAGGGAAAGCTTCAACTGGTGTGCTGTGAAGAATTTGCCAAGAGGCAGAGTGGCAAGCAAGGAGGGCAAAGGTTTATTCACTTCCCAAGACAAGAAAGAGGCAGATGCATAGGCAGTGTGGTTCCTCGCTGGGGTTAGGACTGGGTTTATAAGCATTTAAGATGTACAAGGAATGTACTGCTGGTTTTGTCGTTTTAGTTCAGCTAGCTGTTCCAGAAAGTTGTTGGGGTGGCCAATCTCTCAATGTTGCTAAGGTAGGGAATTGTCAGCTTGTACAATCTCTTCCAGGAATATATTGTTAAAGCAAAGACTCAGGTAGCATTCTGCTTGACTTCAGAAGAACAAACTCTGGCCAGACAAAATAAAGCTCTTTACAACATGAACTAGGTTATGAAATGGACTGACTGACCCCCTGGGCAAAGTCACGGACGATGACCAGTATCTTAAAAGGTGGAGTTTATTGGATTGACTGGCTGGGGCTAACTCAACTTGGGAGTGACCAGCCTCAAACTCAAATAGCTCAGGGTTTATAAAGGCAAAAAATGCAGTCCTTTAGAGCAGATGCAAGTAAATTGTTGTACAGAAGCAGAACTTAGCAGTTATTTTGTAAACACGTAAATCACAAAGATTCCTGAAACAATTAAAACCATAAATACCCCTGTAACAATTTCTTGACCTAAAGCAGCAGGCAGTTCCTGGTTTCAGGGCCAGGTGTTTTGCTTTTTCAAAACTAGTAATTACGGTAGGAGGGGCAGCCAGGGGCAAATGGGCCAGTTACAGTAGAAGGGGCAGCCAGGGGTTAAATACACCTTGTCCTTTCCTCAGAACTAGTTGTTCCAATTCAGTCCTGCCTTTCAAGTTTGGCCCTATTCTTTAAAAATCAATAGTTTTGTTCTGTTTCTATTTTGACATTTTATATTATTTTTTTTTTGGTGT